CCACGGTAGGGGGCAAAAAAATATATTACTTTTGTTATACCTTAATTGGGTACAATTTCATCCATGATAAAGAAGAAAGTTATCAACTTTGCTAGTAGTTTACGAGTTCACATGTCCGAGATAAAACTTGACAAATAGTTCCGAAATATTAAAACCAACGATAAAGAACCAATATCCTCTTACTCTTGTCGCAAGCATATTTTGTCCAGATATATAGGAGATAATTATCCAAAAATATTCTTTTAATCACTCCCATCACATATATATTATTTCAACCTCCCTTTGGTTATCCTGTAACCAGAATGGGGTCTATATATCTAAACATCAAAGTGTACTTTCTATCCCTAATCTATGTCCGTTGAGTCTTTTGATCAAAATGTTGTCATTTTCTTTAATATTATTTGAATTATTTATGAAGCAGGCTTAATGGTTATTAAGACTAAGTTGAATAGTTCTGCATTTTTTCCTAACAATAAGGTGTAGTTTTACTGGGTGATTCCTAGAAGACTAATTCAATACTTTTAATGCTAATGGAACAAAAGATCAAATTATTTTTAAAAAAATAACAAATAATGACATTAATGGTCTACTATTGAGGTATACTTGAATAGTGTATAGTAAAGTCACTATGTGAAAACTCCAAATGTGATGAAATTAATTGAATCTCATTAATTTTCACACTTGAACAAGACAACTGGGTTCTCATAAAAGTTCAGGGTTATATTAACAGGTTGGGTTCCATAAAGAAAATTAATGAAAATCCGAGGGAAGATCTGATGGAATGTGTGTATACACAGAACTTACTGGTCTTTCAATGAACAATTGTAGATCATTGAAAGAACATACTTTATGGAATGAACCTCCTTTACTTGAGAGCTTCACATAAAGCTCCTAAACACACTAGAGAAATATCTACATATAATTATTACATTGCAATTATCCGTTTATAAAGAGTCCACATTTTTAACTCAAAAACTTAACTTCCTTCTACTAAAGGACATCAAATAACACAAAGTAATACAAAAAAGAAATAACTGTGTGAGGGAAAACTTTTATTTTATCAATTCCAATTACTACAATAAGAACACAGTACAATATAACTGACATTACAGAACTCTTCACAGCACTACACTCGCATGTATTCGTTACTAACATTGACAAATTGTAATATTTCAATCTAGAGGAAAACTGTATGTGCCAAAAGATAATTTCAAATTCTATATAATGAAAAAACAAAATAGCTTTCAACATTGCCTCTTTCTCTATTTGTTAAACTGTAAATAACAAAATGTAGGCAAAGAAAAAAAATCCTGTAAAAATTAGTTTGTTAATATATAACTATGTAAACAATTCCAAAGTAAATCGACAGAGAAACATTAAAATACATCAGAACTTTTAACACTCGACACATTGAAGCTTTCTCATGGTCAAGGCAAGTCAGATAAAACTGGTACCCAATTCTTTTTATGTCTCAATAACAAACTGTGTATTTCAGGGTATACTGCTTTTAATGATATTTGACAGGATTCTTTAAACTGCAGTGATTTCTTATCTACAGACTTGTAATATTTTTCAAAGTTTTGTACATAAATCAAAAGTATACTTATGACATCAGAGAAAATAAACTATCACTATCATCTGACGAGTCAAGTCAGAAGTCTGAAAGGTTAAAACCTACACCAAATAACATCATTACTTTCTCTCAATTACAGCAAAAAATTATTTCTATTAAGAAAACAGTTTCCCCTTCATGCATATTTCAATTTGGACACTATTACTCAAACGAACATTCTATACTTTTCTATTTAAAAGCATGTGGATAAATTCTTAAGTGTTTCAATATGTACCAAATGTCTGAATGACTGATGTAATGTTGGTTTTCTTTCAGGTTCATTAGTAACTTCTTCAAAGCATGTAGTTAAAACATGAAATTTTACTTTATAAATGTATAGGCCTAGAACCGTTCATTCTAATTTGTTTTTGAGTTTTCTTGCAGTTACTATTAAAGTTGCATATAAAACTGGTTTGAACACTGAAAGGATTCTGAAGAAAAACAAAACTACCTGTACCTTTTAATGCTATAAAAATACACCACTGCCAAGAAACAATGTATGTGTTAAATAAAAAGCAATATCTGCAAAATAGATAAATAGCTATCAAGCTAAAATAAATATTGTAGTCAAATTCTCCAGTATTTTTTTTACTTTATTTTAGTATTTAGTTGGGTTTTTTTTAATTGATAATCAAGGTTTAAAATTTCATTACAGCTAAGATACCTAAATATCATTTAACAAATCCTTGGTATTTTATAACATCTTGTCATTTTTCAGTTGTATGACTAAAATTTTTGTTATGCAAATAGACAGAACAATAAAAGCCTCCATTATTACCATGTTGTGATAAACATAATTTAGAATGACCAGATGTTGGCTTCAGTGTTTTATTTAAGTCTATTCAGTTGGAAACTTCAACTGAAGTATATTTTTAATATAGAAAACAGTCTCTAATAAATGGGTTTTTGTGGATTTATTGATGCATTTTGTTTTCTTCAGCAACTTGCACTGCTTATCTTCCAGTGCTTAAGTAACTTAAAATTCATTAAAACATGTAATGTTGAAATGTCTAAAATCATTTAGTGGAGAAAGGCACAGTCTCTGAATATATTTAAAAAGGTCTCAATGATATTAAGCCAGAGCTTTATTCAATAGTCAAATTTAGATCTCTAGATTGAGTCTTCACAGGAAAGCAGATATTTTACAGTTATTACAAAATATACAACAATTAATAATACGGCATCCTGTAATTAAGTGCTCTAAAGTATAGCAAATTTCTTTGGCTGTAAGATTGTTCTAAATTAAATTTTCATATTATTTTTACAACTTATAATGAGTTTCACATTAACACCTGTATAAACTTTGCATCCATCCACTGTACAATACCCAAAACACTGGTACAAGCCTAGCAAGTTTTCAAGCATTTCTTAACTATTTATGGGAGAACTTTAGATGGAACAAAAACTCATATGTTCTGGAAAGATGAAAAATCTACCAAGACACATACTGAAAATAATGCAAAACAAGACAAAAGTTAAAATTTTCTACACCTGGAAACTAAAACGGAATTAACAATTTTTTAAAGTAATATTATAATATTTCTTTCAGTAATATGTCCTACACTTTTTCTTTGAATTAAGAACTAAAAATTGTGTTAAGAACAAATACAATGGGGTATCATAAATATTAAACCAATTTATACTCCTGAAAAAACATATAACACAAAAGTTACAATCAATTAAATTAAAACATTTTTTTTCTGTACTCAATCTTGATAATCATCTTAACTATTACTTTTCTGTTCAAATTACAACTCTCAAGTTACGAAAAAAAATGTTTTAATTATACAAAATATAACAAATTTAGTAACTTTTATCTTCAACATACAAGCACATACCCTCACCAAATGTATAATATATTTATTCAAAAATTCACACATATATAATCCTATTGTGCAGTACTGCAATCTAAACCAGGAATTAACATTTTAATATTTGGCAATTTAAACATATCTTGGATTTACCATTACTACAGGTTGTAATTTACCACTAAAAACTTATATTCCGAATTCTCTGTGCACATCTATGTTAATCAGTGAATAAAACAATTCAACACTATGCAGCTCAGGATAACCCTTATCGAACAGCTTAGTTGAAAAAATTCTAAAAAAAGCACCTTAACCACAGTTAAGATATTATTAAAAACAAATAAAAAACAAACCAGCACAAGAATAATTCTGATGTAATTTGACTATTTACCCAGCCTGCACAAAGCCACTGTCAACTAAACATGAACATCACAAGATTGAACACAGATGAACTAAACTACACGTGAATTTCTTGTTGAATGGACTGGTACAAAACAATCAGGGCCTTGTTTAACTAAGCTGAGTGCCCAGGTCCCTGCCGATCTTATGCCTGCCAATAACCCACAGCCAAGGACTGAGAAATAGAATGCAAGGCAACCAATACAAATAAAAGCAGTTTTCAAGCTTACTGAACATTAAATTTTCTTCTTATCAAATCAGATTTTGTGAATGATTTAAGACTGGAAGAGAAATACAAGTAAACAAGATATAATATGATAAAAAAAAAGAAGTAACTCCATAAATTCTAGGAAGCTAAAGTGAAAGGTTTGAACAAAATAGAGGCCAAACTACCCAATATTTATTAACCCTGTGCCTGCTTTGCACCTTTTAATATGAAGGTTGCCCAAGTCAAATCAGACAAGAGAAACACAGTAAGCCTGTGAAACATAGCTCCATCTAGGGAGCAGTGAAGCACGGATGGGTGTGCACTGAGAATCAGTGGTTGAGTGCCAGGTTGACACTGCTGACAGGTAGACTGGGTGGTCACTGGACACACCATTTTCAAAAGGCCTTCCATTCCCTCTTCTCCTACATTGCTCCTTCAACTCTTCAATGCTGCTTGCACTGGTGAGCTAGATCGATGCTCAGTGGAGTGGTCAGTAGGCTGGTGCTACTGGTGATTATCTCCACCTGTGAATCAGTATGGTTGAGAGAACTGCCCGCCTTGAGAGGCTGCAAACAATGCTCGATCCCCCTGGTAAGTGGAATCTTGGGACAACATTCCTTCAGTTTGAGAACGAAATTCTTCAACCAGGTAGCTATCCTATGATAAACAAAAAAGTTCATTAGTTCACCATTACACTACCAACTGTAACAAACAAACATAGATTTAAACCTTTCTGGACCATTTTGTTGTTGTTGTTGATCAGAAAGTTCAATTTTATATATCCACTCAGTTTCAATTTGATATTTATTAACATACATCTTTTGATATTTCATCTCCCTACTGCAGTAGTCATCACTTCAGGTATAAATCATAAAAAACATGGAGAAAACTGAGAAAGTTTTACCAGTTACCTACAAGCTGATGTATCACAATGGCATCGGGTTAGGCTAGGTAACATTTTTACTAAAAAACATTCTTGCTTTAAATCAACTTATTTTTAACATAGTTAATTTTCTTTAAATAATAAGATACTTAATTTATCTACCTTGTTTTAATACAATAAAACTTAACCATAATAGTCAATAAATAAGATTTCAAATAATCAGAATATTCTGTCGTAAGCTTATGCGCTCGCTAACCCTGAGCTGACGTAATATCTTGCCATAGAAGAAAACTTCCGTGCCTTTCAAACAAATAACACACACCTGCAATGGTTTTATTGTCTTGAAACTCTTACATGTTCTACTCTAATTTCTGTATGCTGAATCCGAAAATGATAGCCATTTTTCTCCATCACAAAACGTCATATGTACTTTTACATAAGTGAATCATTTTCACTGAAATCGGGTCACATTTTGTTATGCTTAAAATGTTGACAACACTGACTATAGATTTCTCTAGATCAATTGCAATGTGAGAGTCTTATCAATCGTTCTAGAACCCATGAGAAACTCACCACTAGTATATAAACGATTAACAGGCCGCATGACGTGTCATTTCTGGGTAGTATTTGTTTGTGCAAGCACTTTGACATTAAGTGCACCAATATTACTGTATCCAATAATACAAAACTTATCTTTAGTCTTTACAAAGTGACCTGCCTTGGCTGTGTTTTAGTGGACTAGTATTTTGTAAAATAGTCACATTTCAATTATATTACACATTATATATGCATTATTGCTATTTATAAATAACTTCTTACACTTATTTTTCTTAAAACATAGAACAGTAAATAAAGAAGTAAAGCAAACAATTATTTATTCTAGTTACATCCTTTGTTACTCAGTTGCTACTTGTTGTAGGTTGCTAAGCCTTATCCAATTTTGTACATGGAGGATATGAAACAAAACTTTTATTTAGGTTTTATATATATATAGTTGAATAACCAAAAAATCTTAAATTACTACATCAATACCATAGAATTTCACTGTAATTTATCAAGCTTAGTAACTAGGCTGTATTTGGGTCTACAAAAATACAACTTACTACCTTGAAGTTTTGTATCAAAATAACGAGATGACATCATAATACTTGAAAATGACTGAGTTTTCGATTGGTTATTCACATCATATATTGAAGTAAGTGTATATAAGGGACCGTTTCCAAAAGTGGAGAGAGGTGAGTGGGGCCACTGTTTGATTCAGTACATGAGTAATATCTCAGCAAATAGAAAAGACAGGTGGTTCTTATTTAATACTCTAGCTTGTCAATATCAGTAATTTGAGTTCCTAACCATATTAAACTATAGACTTTGTATTTTGGCATCACAGATGTCTAGTTTGAACGAGTGTTGCATTCAACATATCATGTGACACACAAAAAAAAATCAATGTTTAGCAGTGTTTTTTTATTTATTTTTAAATTAAAAAATTAAATAACATACAATACTAAAAATTTGAATTATGTTCTACAGTTTGATAACAAACTTAGTGATATAAATTGATAAAATAGTAGTTCAATAAAATTTTGAATGCGAGTCAACATACAGATTGACATGGCATTTGACCCATGTGAAAAGGGTTAATAAGTTTCTGTAATTAATAGATGTTCAATGAAAACACTGCTAAGTAATATTCAGTGTAAGTTAGGTAAAATGTGTCTTTTGATCAGATGGGAATAGTTTTACATGCAGAAAAAATAATGTTATACCTTCTAAGAGAAAGGGACATAGATTCTCTTACAGCCTAAAATGCACCGAGAAAACTTTGCTTTTTAATAGCTCTTGCACCATTTTATACATTTTTGTGTGTGTACTGTTTTAAACATTTCTGAAACTACCAAAATAAATCAACCAAACCCGTACAAAGATTCGTTAGTGAAAATAACAGATAAAATATAAAGTTTTTTCTTAAGAAACGTTTGATAACTATCTGGACATCATAAAGATTTTCCATGTGAAATTTGAAAATTTTCTGGGGCATAAAAGTATTTTTAATCTTAAAATGAAAATTATTTTGCATGTTGGATAGGCAACATAAGAAAAACATTACTTAACAAACCTTAAAACTTAAAAAAAAATGATATTTTGCGTATGAAAGCCTTGGAATGTTTACTGATAAGTGCCAAATTTCCGTGAACATATGCTTACTGATTTCAAAGTTATAGCATGAAAACTATAACAAGTACAAAATGGTTATGAAGTCGGTCCCAGGGATCAAGCCCATGCTGAAAGACAATTGTTTTACACATGTGAGAATAAGCCATGGTGTTCCATGTATCATTGTTAGTTTACATGTACTTAGTTATTCTACACTGTGGTTATACTCTATGTTTACTAGATCTTTGAACTCCTCCAAGAATTTTTGACAAAATAATTTGAAATTTTGCATATAGGCTCTTCATCCCTCCATCACAAACAAAATATAAATAAATAGAAAAAATGGATCTACAGATTTACATAAAAGTTCTTGACCAAAACACTGAAAAATGAAAGTCAAATATAAACACTCTTTATGAAGTCAAGGGAAAATATAAACACAGTAGCCATCATACAATTAATGAGTTTTGTGCTGTACTACTTTACACTCATGAGTATTAAAGTACAAGCAACTGCCTCACAATAAACTCAAGAAAAAAATTTCTCCACCCACTGGTAAAAGTAGATCTTGCATAATTAAGTCATCTTATATGTGCACATTGGTGAAATGGAAACTGTGCATTGTAGTTAGTTGATGCATGCAAAACACAAGTATACTTTTTCATAGTAACATTATATATAAATAGTTAATTTATTTCTCTGACATTTCATGCTTTAAAAGAAAAGTCGATACAGTGAATTCTATGTCTGGCAAAAGAACAAATGAAATTGTGATGTACATATAACATGAACCCCTCTGATTTACAAAGATTAAAATATCTGCTGTTCATTTTTCAATCTGGATCATTTAATATTTTTTCGTAACCTCAGCACTGACTTGCACCATAATAATTTTATTAATTCAAAATGTAACTTAAATAAAGCAGTGTGGTATACTGGTTATTTTCAGTCTTAGATAAAAACCAATCAGTATCAGCTTTGTTACTATATATATATTAAAGTAACTATTTTATCTTTATTTATAAACTTTTTTTACAATTACTTAGTACTACTTCACTGGCCTCTAATACAATTTAGCTCTGTTTGCACAAGGATTGGTCATTATGACTAACCTTGTAACCATGAAACAATACATAACTCTGAATGTCCTAACAATGTCTTCAAGAAATTTGGCAAGTTTTAAGCAAACATAACAAGTCTGTTCTACACACACACAAGAAAAAAAAGGATTTTTTTTTAATAAAGTATGTTCTACTAAATATTTGCTTGTGAATTTACAGTCAGACTAACTCAGACTCTGACTAGTCTAAGTGTAAAATCATTTATGTAAAAATAAAAACCTTTTTTATCTTAGTTTTATATTTCATTTGCATAACTTCTAAGACCACCTAAATAAATAATTTGTTATTTGTCAGTAAAACTTTATATTTTATGTTATTTTCTCTAACTTAACACTAACTGTATCAAATTCAGCAATGTAGAGTAAAATGAAAGTTGAAGAGGAAAATAAATCTAAATTACTTTATTTTCCATATTAATTGCATATTGTGACAGATAATTAATTACACACTATATATTCTTACAGCCAAAGCTAATAAGATTTTTCAAATCTGGGTTTATTTAGTTTTATTGCTTTACAGCTAGAACTGGACGGTCTCAAGAGTATGCTAATAGCTATTTTTCACAGCTGGACAACTCTGTGTAAACAAATGATCTTACCTATATTATAATTTTTCAAAAATCTTTTCACCATGGAAGTGAAATTTACAAATTTCCTGAACTTTAAAAATTGGATTTTTACTTATACATGTATCTAAGAACAACAAAAAAGGAACCATTTAGGCAGTATTTAAATACTGCATTGTTTTGTTCAGTCCTTTGTTTAGGAACCCATCTGTGAATACAGATCAATTTAGGCCTTTTCCAGTGATGTCTTTTCATATAGGTTCAGCTATGTGACAAAACATACCTGTTTTATTTTAAGGTAAAGAAACAGCCTAGTAGCAAATCAAATAGTAGTCACTTTCAGAAAGAGTGGTTTAAATTGGAAGGAAATAAACAACTTAAAATATGCAGATGGTCACAGCAAGCTTTTGCAAGCTATTCCTACTTAAAACTGCTATACTTAAATTAACAAAATTAATTTTTTAAATTAAAAAAGGACAGTAGCTAACAAAAACAGAGAAAAATTTCTCAACTCAAAGCATTTTAATGGCTAAAGTTCTAGTGTTGTTATTTAGTGGTTGAATGATAAAAAAAAAAAAAAAGAACTTGATGCAAGATCAGTTATTTTTTATACCATAAAGAAATTATGACTGAATACCATATATTATGTGTATTTAGGTATATGCTGTTTTTCTGATTGGAGATGCAAGCCTTTTAAAAACAACTGTTCAGATGCAAACATTAAATTAATCATGAACAACCAATACTAATTAACAGTAAAGAATTACTGAGACTGAGCCTTACCTGAGAAAGATCCGGCTGAGACAAGCCATGAAATCCTGGCTGGCTCATTTGACTCATGGTCAGTGGGCCTTGCATAAGTGGACCCTGAGAGAAGGAGGTCAGCATATCCTAGAAATTGTATGATGAGTAAAAGTGAGCCAAAAGAAAGAATTTCCAAATTCAATGTGAAAGAAAAAAAAAAAACGGAGCATATTAAATAGTATCGAATGAGAGGAAAGAGGGAGAAAAAAATTCAGATGAATCTTAAACATTACATTGTAAGATTAATTAGAAAACACTGATATTAAAATCTTGGTATTTTTCTCTTTTATAAAAGCTCATGAGAACTCCATCAAGTGGAAGAAGCATAAATTTAAAAAGTGAATTATTCAAATTGATATTACTTTTTGTGTTATTCCTTTGCAAGTTTTAGATCATTTCAGACCCAAAGGTATAAATAACACAAATATCAGAGTTAAACTTAGATTACGATATTAACAAATGATATTTCAATATTGAAATTTAATCTCTACCATTTAGCTTTCTAAAAAGCATAAAAATCAATCAATAGTTTTTAAAAATTATAAACAAATTTTTGTTTCAGTACAAAGTTAAACAATGAACTATCTGTGCTGTATTCACCACAGTGAACCAAACCTTATGTTTTATCATTCCAAGTCTTCAAGTTTACTACTGAGCCAATGAGACACCAAAACAAATTTTTTATTGAGAGTTTGCATTACAATAAATTGATTTCTGTATCAAAATAACATTTTTTAATGCTATTTTGGGGAGAATTTTATCAAACACACTTTATCCTAATGCTTTGATCACTTCATCAAGTCAGCCTTTTTACACAGTTTTATTTATCTGCTGTAATAGCATCTTGAATAACAATTATTTGGTATTAAGAAAGATAAGAATAAGGTTCTTTCTAGCAATCCGAATGTAAAAAAAAATTAGCAATGTATCTGATAAGTGACTAAAATATAAAAATAAAAATTTAAATCAAAAGCTTAACTTGACCTTTTGCAATGCCCAAGGATTGACTTTGGATTTGATTATTAGTTTGTTAATAAAAATTCCCCACCCTTTACAATATTTAGTAATTCTTGCATGAATATAAAATTCTTGATGTTATTTATTGTTTGTAGGCCTTACATAAAATATGTAATTGACTATTATGTCAAACTTTTTTGTCATTTATCACTGAAAATTTTCTTTACTTATTCTTTGTTTTATTTTATATTCATCTCAAAAGTGTTTTAATTTTAAAAAAGGATAACTCAATGTTAAATAAATCATACCTGACTTGCTTGGCTGTTAAAACCCTGTTGCGACAGATTTGCATTTCCATTCGTAAAAGGTATATTTGTCCGTTGTTGTCTTAAACCTCCCTTTTTAATGGCACCTCGATTTCTAGAGTTTTGGCGTGCTATAAATAAATGAGTTTTTTACATATCTATATAAATCTCAATAATACTCTCTCATTCCTCTCATAATTTAAAAACTTGTTTCCAGAATAAAATTTTATGAAAGAAAAAAAAACATTTCTAAGTTTGTAATTTACATATGTGGTAGAAAACTCATCAACTAAAAAGTGCAATGATTTAAACTAATCTTGTTCTACACATACATAAGATCTACAAGTACACACATCTTTTCAGAGGCAGAAGAAGTAAAAACTAACCTGATTCTTTATAAATAAAATAGTTAAAATTAAAGGATAGACCAAAATAAAGAAAGTTAACATTTTCTTAAACTGAAAATGTACTTCCAACAGATACTTACTTCCTCTCACAAAAAGCTTTCTTGATTAGTACTGCCCTCTATCAGTTAAAATATTTTGCTCGCCACTAGATTTCTAGCTCCCACTTCTTTCTGCATATCTACGTGCAAATGCTCATGCAGCAATCCCCCACCAATAATGTTTCAACAATACCCCTATTATAACTAGAACCCTCTTTTATAATGCACCTGTTAATCACTTTGAGACTGGTCATGACCAAGTCATCCAATACACCAGAAGTGGGAAAAATCGGTGGGAAATGTGAATGGAGGTAAGTATGTATCAGAAATACATTTTCATTTTAGGAAAATGTTAACTTCCAATACAATATCTTACCTCTTCTCACAAAATGCTAGAATCTCACACTGAACTGGTGGAGGGCTGGTGAGAATATGATCCTCCTTCAGAAAGCTCCCAAAGAAAGACCAAGAGGTGTGGTAAGGAATTAAAAACAACACACCAGTGGGAAACCACACCATTTATGAGCCAGGTATACTCTTTACTCTTCAGGAATGTGTCGCCAAAACATAAAGGGCAGAAATATGGTGGGGCCCAAAAAATTTTTCCACAAGAAAAGGACCCCCCCGGTGTCAAGTGGCTAGGGTGCAACAGTCCATAAATAGGAGTTTGACCACCTCAACCAACATCTGGCAGCATGTGGAATTGTACATCAGGTTCACAGAGGAAGAGTGTCCTCTACCTTTCACCTAAAAAAACAGGTTCTGGGAGGGAAGACGAGTATCTGTTCCAAGAACCTGTCTCCACATGTGCACATCTCCAACACAAACAACATCTGATCCACCAGAAACCAACATCCAGCAGATGGTAGGGAGTAAGGAGAGCTCAGGGGGCATTCATCTCCAGTCCAAAACCTGGCAGCATTGGGAATGTGTTGTCCAGTCCACGGTAAGAACAGAGAACCCAGCCTTACACATGCAGGAATACATTTTCTTGTCCAGCTTCCAACCAGCAACAGATCCACTAGGAATCAAAATACAGCAGACAATAGGATGAGAGATGGCAATTTGGCATTATATCTCCAATTCAAACCTGGCAGCATTGGGAATTTACTGTCCAGTCTGTGGTAGAAGGAGGGTACCAGCCAAATACATGTGAGGACTTGTGTGGCTGGGCTAACACCCGATCCACCAGGAACAGACATCTGCAGAATGGTTGGAAGGAAGAATGCTTCAACCAGAGGGGCAAACTGCAATATATATTATACATACACGACAGAGTGCTACAACCAACACCTGACAACATCTGAAATTGTACATCAGGTCTGCAGAAGGAAGAGTGTCACACCATCGACATCAGCAGAATGCTACCGCCCTACTCTCAAACTAAGTGATATTATGTACCTTCAGGAGGACAGGCCACCATGGTTCACCACCCCAGTGGCAAGGGGGAAAAAGCGATGGAGAGTCTGGGGGACCACAGCACTGGAGACAGTGCAATGGGTGACCACAATACCCTTTTTTGAAAAGCAGAGCTACCACGTTGGCGGAGTCGATCAACCAACATCTGGTGGCATCTGAAAGGAGGCAATCAGGATCTGAATGTTCGTAAAATTGGGAAATGGAGGGAAATGGTTGGTTGGTTGGTTGGTGTTTTATGGTGCAAAGCAGCTAGGCTATCTGCGCCAAACAACCGGTAAAAGCAATGAAAGTAGATTAAAGTAAAATAGTAAAAAAAAAAAATAAAAAAAAAAAAAAAAAAACAA